CAGACCCTGCAACAACAACCCAAACCGGTAGGTTGGTTTCTGACAGTAGCAAACCTCAACTGGACACGCGGGATGTGATCGCCATGTAAATCCCCTTGCTCACCCAAAGAGAGATTCGCGCATATCATCTCCCAACAACCTAACGCAACCAACCGAGCAGCCCAACAGCCCAACAGCCCAGCAACAGCCTGCCCAACACTTCAACAGCCCAACCAAACAACCTAACACAACCAAGCCAACAACCTAACAGCCCAACAGCCCAGCAACAGCCCAACAGCCCAACAGCAACAGCCCAGCAGCCCAACACCCTAACAGCCAAACAACCCAACTGCCCAACAACCTGAGAACAACCCAAGAACAACCCAACCGCCAATCAGACCAGTTGCGGAGCCCAAAAGGCGTCCCCCAGACGATGTCCACAACTCAAGAGTAGGCACAACAGCTACTCTCCGGCACAAGACGAAAAGGGTCCTGCTTGAACAACTTCCTGTGGGTTTCTTTTGAATTGTTCTTTTGTACGGTGTTGAAACCATTCTTTTCACAACCACCGCTGCAGAAAGGACGATTGGCATGAGTCAGCTTTCAAGCTGGCTCCACTGAAGCAACATCTCATGGTGGTTGAACGAACACCAGCCAAAGCAAATAATTGCGAGGACCCCCCTATCCTAACTTTATGTCGCCTTCGGTTACCAGCCAAAAAGTACAATTCCTCGAACAAACATAGCACGAGGGTGCTAGAAACCCTCAAACGGGTCCACTTCAAGTTGGACAAAACCACCAAAAGTAACCGACAGTAACCGCTTTAACTTGGAAGAAGCAATCCTGCAACCACTTCAAGGTTAGATTTCCCCCTCAAAACGCGGCTCCTCTTTTTCAGACGCAAAGCTGTTCCGAAAGGAGCCCACAAGAAACAACAACATCGCGGAAAAGGCAACTCGTGGGCACTTGCTGCAGGGTAGGATGGCGAAGCCGACAGGATCTACCGTAACGGTGGCCTGAGTGCCTCAGTGGCAATTGGATAGCCATGTTTAGACAGGCAACTTTTGGGGAACCCAACGGCATAACGAGGGAAACCACTACCATCTAAGGATTATGGATTGACCTTGAACAAACCAGCCTTCTGAGTTTGCGGTCGGTTTCGTCGGCTTGGGCAAGCAGCTTTTTTAAGGACATAAAGGCCTCTTAAACTGGCTGCCTTGGTGGACAATCATCCCAACAAACCCCCAAACAAAAGCATCGCGCGAGAAAGAACCCACAGGAAATGATTGTTGTTTGTTCCAACCCAGCCCGAGCCTGAGCCAAACTCGCTGCCTGCCGGTCTGGCAAGCAAATCAAACACCAGGCTGCTCCTTGAGGATTAAACATGTGATGCCCCTTGGTCATCTGCTCTGGTTTCAGCCAATTCAAACAAAGCTGTATAGCAAGACCAAATCTGCAGATTTGGGCCCAAAGGTTGCGCTCGATTCTGTTTGCCATGTTACTCCCTGCCCTGCGGGTCTCGGTAGTTTTGGGGGTCCTCAAAAAGACAAAGCATGAGAGAAGGATACACATGAAAGACGTGAAAACAAGCGACAGACCGGCAAGCGGTAGACTCGCCGCAGGTGAGATCTTGCTGCAACAGTCATTAAGAAAATCCTAACTTCAGCTGAGTTTGGGGATTCTCTTGTGGTGCCTTCCCCAAATCAATGCACCATGCACGAATATCAGGCTTTCAGAGGCGTCTTTGCCAAAGCTAAACCAGCAGATTATCTTCTGCCTGCAGCCGCCCTTCTATTTATTTGGGGGGGGGGGGTACCTCCTACTTTGAGCGGTTCAGAGTTGTTGATTGTTGCGCCTGGCAAAGGAGGTCCTGATAGAAGCGAAACTCACTGATGTGAGCAACCTGGACCCAACAAACATAGTCTTTGTCATTCTTGGGGGACTGTACTATCCATTAGTCGATACGATTTTATCATTACCCGTAGTACAGGTATCATTTGGAAGCGAATCCCAATGCGACCCAGGCCAGAAGAACCATAGAGTTGCTGCACTGACCCTTGCACAAGGTGAAATAATCCCGAGCCAACGGAAAGGTTCTCTTTACCAGACCATCTAAGGGCTGAGAAAAAACAAGTTAAAAGTTGGGGCCCTTGTTTCAGGCTAATTTCACCTCTTGTTCAAGCAACCTCCAACTTGACCTTCCCTCCAGCCAGGAGAGCGAGCCGGTCGGCTCGGAGTGTGCCGGGCCGCCAGAGACGGAGATCTGGGCATCGTTGCAGGGCGCCGTCAGTGTCCAAGGGGACTGGCGCATGTAGGGGTCCTGGCAGGGGCAGACAATGGGTTGTCAAAATACGAGCCCAAAATAGCAGCCTGGTGAATAGATAGAAACAAGGAAAACCAGCGGTCCGATTCCTGGTCGCTTCGTTTTGATACCCACTAATCATTTGACTACCCGTTGTTCCAATAATGATGGATGATGGAAGTGACTTTCTCAAAAGGACACTCGTCTTCCAAAACCCTCCGGGATGGTCCAAAGAATCGAAAAAAGCAGACCAGTGGTTGGCTTCAGACATGAGTCTCCTGGATGCCCCAGGTGACCAGGGTGTCCTGAGTGGCGAGCAAGTCGGAGCATTGGAGTAAGCCAAGCCGGACTTGCAAAGGAAGAGACCCTGCGGCCTCCCTGCCCACCAGAAAGATGTGCAGTCGGAAGCTTCGAAGAACCTTCCCTTAGGAATACTGTACATGGAATTCCACATGCCAAAGGGTCTTTGGTAGACTCGACAAATGGTCCGAGCATTTGAGCATTGCCTAAACAAGATTACAGCATTGACAGGCATTTCGGGTTGTTGCTTCAGAGATTCAGAGAATCTATACTCCGCGCCTCAGATTGGCAGCCCTCACCAACCTATCATGGGGCTTCCTATGACCCTGTGACATTGACGTGTTGCCTGCAATGCTGCTTTGCCTGCTACAACCAGGTTCTAACTAGATTAGACACCCCTCAAAAATAATTTTCCCGGAGAAAATATAGTGTTATTGTTCGCGGGCCCCGAGTTTCAGCTTTACAGAGTCAGGGAAGAAGCAACAAAAAGGTCGAACTAGTTCTGAAAGTACCAAATTGGGGGGTCGCCCGTGAACCTTCCGCGAAAAGCCTCGTTATGTTCGGGGAATTTACATTTGTTTTCTTACCCCCAAAAAAGAATTGACCATAGCACCCAAAAGCGGTTCCCTGGATATGGGGAGTTCAAAATATTGTCTGTATGGAATTTCACACAGCTCTTTGTGCCTGCCTTTTCATGCCATCATCAAAGCAAACACGAGAGCATGATTAAATTCTGAAAAGAGAAGATCAACCGCGTCCCTTGCGCCAGCTTCCGCGAAACAAAAACCTTCCGCAAACCTTCAACCAACTTTCTGCGGCAGCAGTGTGGTGCTGCCTTTTTTGTTGATATGGCAGCCTCAACATATCTTTGCTTGAGCGGAAAAGAACAGCCACTCAATTGGTTTATGGGGAGTCCCGGAGTTGAGGAAAAAAACCTCGTTTCATTGGGGGGGATCTTTATGATGTGGAAGAGATTTAATTTCTTTCCTACAGCTGGGGAAACCGCCACGCAATAGCTGACGCCCCTACGGTAAGAGAGAGGGGGTATTTAGGGGTTCCCCACTTCCTTCTAATAGCTTTCTCTGCAAAGGACAAGCACGTTGCTACAAATAGAATCAATCAGCTGCCATCCCGACGGGGTGGGGATTTGCATTTGGGGCCATTCGTCCGGCTCAATCCAATTAGAATGTGATGTCAGTCACAAATGAGTGTGTCTTTCTTTTGGGGACCCCCAAAATGCTGTTACTGGAGAGATGCTCCATTCCTCTGCGGCCCTATGATGGTCCTGATTTGGAGTGACTGACCTAAGTGGACGGGGCCTGTCCACTTTCATGGGACAAAGGGGTCTGTCAACTTTTGAAGGGACGCCATTTTTCGTGGTTTTGAAGGGACACCACAATGAAAACCACCATTTGGGGGGTCCAGAGAGTAACAGTCGAACTCTGCTCCACCCCCGCACTTTCAACTGCAGACAAGGCCGCCGGGTTCACCTGGATGTTCTCTGAAAAGGTGAAGACCTCACATGGCAAAGCCCCGAAAAAGGAGGTCCAAACGCTGGGTCCAGGGATTCCAATGGCACAACTCTCAGTGATGTGGGGATGTAGCCCACCAATTTTGGGCTTGGGTTGCGCAACACACTCCGAAATCAGGGTTGGTCAACATGGAAGGATCCCCAATCAAAACATGAATTACCTTCTGGATCAGGACATGATCTTGACATTTTGGAAGTTACTCCGCATGAAAGGAAACGATCAGATTTCTGACTCTCAAAAAAAACACACAAACAGCCAACATACTGTTGGGGGGCAACATCCACGTTGGAACGGATGCACCATGAAAACTTGCCCACTGCTGCCCGGGCGATGGTCGTAGTGATGGCCACGTTGGGCGCGTTGTCCACGGGGGACATGGACACCAGCGTGGGTGGGCTGAAGTCGCCTGAAGGCTTCTAGGGGTTGGGTCAAATGGTCTAAACTGCTTCTGTTTAAACAACCTTCTGGCTTCCCTGTGGGGAGGGGGGCTGGGGGTCTGCTTGTTTAAACAATTCATTGTTGCCCAACCCTGGTTGGTTCTAAATGCTGGTCAACTGAGTCAACTGGTGTTCTGTTCAACAAACGGACGATTCTTTTGGTGTCGCGGTGCATGTCTGAAACGAGGATCTCTGGAAGAGGCGCTGGCGGGTATCCTACCTTTTCGCCTTTTGGATTCCGAAAGTCTCCAGCAGCGACTCTGGCAAATCCAGCTTGGGGGAACGGTTGTTTATTGTTTCAAGCAACTCTTGGGAATCTCATTGCGAAAATCATTGCCGCAACAGTGGAGACGGGGGGTTATCTAATTTCTAAATAAGGCTGTCGACAGTCAAACATGTCCTACGACCTCCCTTGGGTGTATTTGTTAAGGTACTCTTTGGCTACTCAACCAAAAAACTTAAACTCTGTCAATATGTGCGTGTGTTTTGATAATTTGTTTCTAGACACAAATATAAAACACTATGATACATGTTTGACAGGTGCTTGGAAGGCCTCTTGATGCAGACTACAAACCCTTCTGCTTCAACTGTTTCGGTGAGCGACCCATGGCACAGCTCACTTTCATGATATCAATACGAATTTACATATAACATGCTGGTGGTCAAGCGCTGGAGTGATGTTTGCTGCATGTAACGGAAGGGAAACGGCTCTTAGGGACAACCAGCGCGCCTGTGGTAAACTGTACAGAGAAGGCGGCGTTGGTATCAGTGGCCGCCAGGTTCTGAATGATACCCGCATCAAAGGAGAGAGTGTACACGGTCTCCTGCAAAACGGGCACAAACACACACGTCAAGCCGTTCTGCTCTTTGCATGGATTTCAGAGGAGCATAGATTGCTGGTAGGAACAGTCAAATCTAAGCTGTTCAACATGAAGGATTTCCTCTCAGCCCCAAACAGGTGCTGATCATGAGACACCCCATGATCAAGACTCTAGGTGAGCTGTCTCTTGATGGATTGGTTTGTTCTGTGTTAGCAGCTGTGCTGGAGCAGACGTCCGATACTCTACGGGTGGAAGAACATACCCCTTGTTCATATCCCTTTGCCTCCCTGGTTTCCAACCCACTTTACAATATATACCCCTTTTGGGGAGAGGGGGAGAGGGGTATGAACATCAGCAGGCCTTCTGGGAAAAGGGGTATGTACAAGCACCCCTGAAAATACAGCACGGACCTACAGGTTCAATTGCTACGGCTTCAACAAATTAAATGGTTTTTGGTTCCAGCCACGCAGCCACGATTGTTTTTGCAAGTCGGTGTGGATTACAACATGTGCTTTCAAGTATTAGATAAGTTATCTATTGCAGCTTGCCTGGCTAGGTTTCGAAGGGAACATATCACATAGTGGAGCTTCTGACCACAGGCTTCACACGTTCCCAAACCAAACAGGAACACCTTGCTGTAAGATGCTGAGCCTATGTATTGTTGCATGGAGATTCTCTGGTGACAGGACGGCAAACTTGTCCAGGCCTGCTGAACGCAAAAATCAGTCATGGAAATGCCGTTTGGCGGTGGTGGGTCTCATGATCAAATAGTAACCTTCTCAATGACTCTGTGCGTGTTTCGCACTTGCTGGGACGTAATTATTCAGTGAAGATATGCGCAGAACAGCCAGGACTCATGTGAACTCAAAAGGCAACTTGAGCAAACATGTTGGCCAAGCAAAGCAAACTCGCTTGCAACCGTGCATATCCCCAACGTTAGACGAGATCAAAGTTAGCCATTTTATTACATGGAGCTCTTGCCAAAGACTCGGCTAGACCTGCCTACATTCTTCTTTGCGCACAGTTCGGCACATGTCCAAAGCCCCTCGCGAAACTTCCAAAAGTTGGCTGCATTGGCAGTGCTGCATGCCGCCCACCCCTGGCCACCTGCAATATGTCTGTTTGTTCCCTGAATGCGAAAAAAATTGGCCATGTATCGTTGACTTTGGGTGGTAGTCTGAACTAAGCCCAAACAATTCGAGCCAGCTAGACGTTGGACCAAAAGCAAAATGTCTAACTTCGAACGATGGATTGCCCGAAAAGCTCGGGCTTAAATGCCCCCATGAACGAAAGAGCACTCCAAGGCCCTAACAAACAGGTTTGGTGCCCTTTGGTTGGTTGGCTTACCACCCTTTTCGGGTTAGCAACACCTAACCCGCCCTCCCAGAACCAATCTGGAAAGTTGCCCAGGTAAGGCGCCTTCTGGGTGAGCTTTGTGAAAGCATCTTCATTCATAGGGGTACCAGGGTGTCCCAACAAGGAGAAATTCCACTAGGGTCCGCCAACAACCGAAATCGTAATCTAGCAAGTAAGGAAACTGAATATAATTGCTCCAGGCACCTGTTGTTCAATTGTTAAAGGCGAACCTAAAACTACAATATTTAACTGGAGGTTACAATGAAAAGTGCTGAGCAGTGCCCCTAATGAATACGGCTGCATGTTTTTAGAATCGGTTTGGTATTGGGTCAACTAAACTAATAGGGGCGGGGTCAGTTTTTGGACTTTTCCAGCGGTGGAATTAAGAGGGCTCAGTGGATTCTTTGCCCAAAACCTAAAGCAGTGTCCATGGCAAACACGGAACTTGTTTCTTTATTGGTTGACTTGACAGGGAACCAGCTCCAAAAAAGAATACGCTGAACTGTAACCTCTGGCGCCAGTCGGTGTGTAACACGGCTCCAAGGAAAACCCTCGCTTTGCAAACCCCCGAAGCCCAGTAAACATCCCAATCCCCACTAAAATAGACTAAAATGGAGTTGCACCTACCCCAAAGTGGTACCGTTTGTTTTTGACCCACAGCCAAACCTGGGGCGAGGGAAATTTCAGAGGCAACCTGGGCCGGTGTCCTCTGCGAAGGCATCCTGCCGTCCACCGGAGCTGGTGGGGTCGTTGAGAAAAAGCGAGGCCCCGCTGATCACCACCTCACAGATCCAAGGAATTAACTCGGTTGCTTTCTGCTCCCCTGCTAAAGGTTTAACTTTTAGTGGCTTTATGGAAAACCCATTAGTTGGCACAAAGTTAAAGTCCTAACATCCAAGCAAAATGTAGCAAAGTTAACATTGGTGACCTTTGGAAAAAATAGATGGGCTTCGCTGGTAAATTGTTTATAACAATAATCTGAAACAGTGGAACCCATCTATTTCTAGCCAAACAAACCTGAAGAGGACACCTATGCTCATTCGTCTCCGTCTAAATGGGCCATTGATGGCCCCTGCATGCCCCTGCTGTTTCTTTCATTGATGGTTTATCTGTACTATCTTTTCACTGGAAACCAAACCCCTCCTGTCCACTTCCGTTGCTGTCCTCTTGAACAAGACCCTTGTCCTTGATCAACCTTCAACACCACACCTAGGACTGAAATACCTTCTACCATCATCATTGTGTAAGGGCAAAGATGTAAAATGGCACCAAACGTTGAGAAGAAGGTTAGGTTAGGCCTCCCCAGAGTCTTCACATCTTCCCCATTTCTCAACGGTTCCTTCAGCAAAGCACACTGGCCACTCCCCATGCTTGGAAAGAACCCTTCTACTCAAAGTCACTTTCAAAAAATCGATTGGCCGCCGGAAAGTGGCCAATTCCATCCATTTCGACCAAGCTTTCCCCAGACATACTCGGGGAAAACAAGAAACAGCAAAAACCACCAACTGCCCCACGGATGTGCCACACCCCGCGAGAACTTCGAAGTCACGGCCCGCTTTCGCCCAGACGCCTCGGTGCTTGGCACTGAAATGGTGGTGGCAGCTGCGCTCGAGGTGCCGATGCCCGTGATGGCGGGCTGAATGGTGATATAGCCGAAACTGGCCTGAATATTCTCCTGGGCGCTGGTCGGAACTCAGGCGAAGAAGTTGAGCAAGGCAACATGAAATGCCACAAACATGACTTTGGGTTTGGAGACTCATGATGTCGGAGGAATTGACTTTTCAAAGATCAACTTGTTTCTAGGTACGACGGATGCCCTGAATATTGCTTGCAAGGAGGGCAAGGGAAGCCTTCTGATTCTGACCCAAATAAGAGGGTTTCGGGATGTTGTTGTGGTTGGAAGTGGTTAGTTCACTTGCAACATGTGGCACATGCGCCGAACCTGCCTAAACCGCTTCAAAGTGCAGGAGCCCTTCACTGTGAAAAGGGTACCTTGAAAAAAGAAACACCCAAAGGGCTCTCTATATGCGCCGTCCGTTCGCCTCACACGTCTTCGGCCTCCCCTGCTTGCAGATCGCTGATTGTGCTCCTTTTCTTAGACTTCAGACTCAATGAAGCCGGCCGGTGGATGCGAATCCTTTCCGGGAAGTCACCATGGATAACCTCCGTGTACTCGAAATTGCTTCTCAATTCGCATGCTTTTCATTGGGAGTGGGTTTTAGCGAGGGTTGCTAACCATTTACTAGCTACATATCCGGGTATCTTGGTGCAGAGAAGAGCATGAAATTCCAAACTTTGACTCCATGCCAACAAGATGCTTGCTTACTGTCTGCCACAGTGCAAGGTATTGAGGTGTAGCTTTGGGCACCCTCGTTCCGACGAAAGAAGCAAACAGAATCACAAACCAAACGCGGCTGGAGTTCGGCGAACTCAATCTCCACGATGGAGTTCACCCGCACATTTTGGTTGTTGTTCGTCCACGCTTGCGAGTCCTGCGCCGCGCAAACTGAGAAAGCAAACACCGGCGGGCATGCAGAGCCGCTATAGCAGGGCATTAAGCCTAATCAAGTACCCCGGAGTTACATGTGGGAAGAAAGCAGCAAACGCGTGATCTCGATCGATCTCGATCTCCTGATGAGTTCTTTGAATGAAAAAAACATAATTCAGGGCGCTTTGGCACCAAGAAAACGGCAACGGTCACTTGGTCGCCTGTTTTCGTTGCATCAACCCGAGTCCACCAGCGATGGATTCCCCCGGGCAACCTTGGGCGATTTGAGGAAGTCCCGTGGCCATTGAGTGGGTGGATGGGGCAAACTTGGCAAGATCGCCCAACTGATTCTTCCAGAGAGAAACCTTAGTGCGAAGATTCGCGCAAAAAAGGAAAACGCACCAAGCTTGGGCTGGTACTATTCCAACGAAAAAGGGACCTAAAGTGAATTGAGCCCTCGTCTTTTGACAGGGCAACCAGAAGCTTGGATATGCTGACTTGCAGGCTGTCACTTGGCGCTGAGCAAGTCGTTTTCGCCTGCCCAATCTCCCAACCCTGACAGGCTATTGCATGAGGCATTCAGAGCTCGTAACTGGCAGGTACCTGGTGATTAAGTTCACGGGTCATTAAAACCATCAGGTTGTGTGATGAACCGGAGTGTTCAAAAACAAATGGAAGGACCCCATCCTTTTGGTCAAAAGAACAACCATGAGAGCCTCATACAAAAACACACACACACACACAACTGGAGCGTGATGAATGAGTGACCCTGGAGACCCACTGACACGTGGGTCAAACTCGCCGCTAACTCCTGAAACTTCGCGCCCAGGGCGGTGTTCAGGATTGATGATGTTGTTTGCTCCACAGTATGTCCAGGCTAACAAATATGCGAGTCGATCAACGAAAGTCCCGGATCGATATGACCTTTCTGTTTCATGCGCAAGCCTCTAAATATGACCCTTCTATTTAGCCATCCATGTCTTCAATATGACCTTTCTTGTTATTGGCTAAATATGAAGACATGCTACCTGGTTGGCAACTGGAAATTGCGGAGCTGGGGGAGCGGGCAACTTGAAACGCGCCTGGACGTCCGAGCCATCTGGCCAGCTGACATCCTGACGGATTGGTCTCACTGCTACAGGGCTCCCTATACTTCCCCTTAAAACATCACCCCCAAGGGGCACTCACCTTTCATGCGCCAAACAGGTGATGTTTAAAAGCACCAAAAAGGGACATATAGGGATCCCTGTGATAGGCAACATGAACTCCACAAGTGATTCCAACCTATCTTTGCCCCGCTGGAGCCGAATCCTATTGTCACCAAAGTGGTCCAAAGTGGTGGATTGCCAACTGCATGATTTCTAGAATAGGGGATTCTCTCGGCTCGCAAAGCCAACATCTTGCCACGTCCGTGGTAAACAAAAATGATGTCCTCAACACCTGAGGACCTGGCAAATTGCGAACACTCTGCACATAACCGTACCATGTATTGTTCTCTTGTTCTTCTCAAGGCGATTTGCCGGAATCCCCGGCCGCGCCGCAAATACTTTCAAATATGCTCGTCACACGTCGAAGATAAGGAGTGGGGATCGCCTTACTCCGCTTGTGCGAAGTAGAACACAAGTTATCAAGCAAGCAATCCTTTGCCCCGTGGAACACCTGGCATGCGAAAAGGACAGCCCATCCGCTTGTTGCTTCTTTTGAACGTGAACCCTGGGCGCAAACTATTCAGCTTGAACCAGTCTGTCAGGTTTCCGTGTCGCCGGTGTCGGAAAGGGATCGACTCTCATACTGACCAATGTTTCGTTCCCATTTCCCATTGCTTGGAAACCCCACGAGAGAACCACTACCTCACTTCGTCCAGTGGAACCTTCGCTTCCGGGGTCATGGCCTGGAGATGCGTAAGCGAGACGGTCCTTGGACAGCTTCGACGGCAAAGGAATCAACCGAAAACCCCTGCGAATGGGCAGAGATGTCAGGCCAAATGGAAAGCATCTCCGATTGCTTACATATACCTATATGTATATATATTATATATATAATATATGTACACATGTGCAATGAGAAAAGACACGCCGCGATTGACCAAGCAACCTAAACGGCAAGGCGACTTCTGTCAACTGCCAACAGGAAAACGCAAATACACATACACAAAACCGCAAAGATGCACATAGGCACAATTTAATGTCCACATCACCACACCAAAGCTTGTTGTTCTCCGGCCTTTCCAAATGGTGATGTTTCACCCACCCGAAATCCAACAAGCAGTTGCTCGAGCTCTTCACAACATCCCCACTTGCTTGATCCTGGTGTTTCTTCGAGAAAAATGGCAACATCTGCGGCTCATTTGCTCGCCCAACACCGGCCAGATACGGGTTCAAAGTTCGGCTTTTTCCATTTGAGTTGTGTGGGGTGAGCCGAAGCCTCTGCTCCAGATTCCCAGCCCAAGTTCCGAAGAGACTACCCATTTAAGTCCTCCGGTAGAGAAGTTAGGAGAAGGGTACCCTTTATTCTGTAGTCTATTTCAGTAGGGGAACCCTCCCCCAAAAGAAGGTAAAAGGGCACTGTGGGACCTAGTTCCCATCCAAGTTCCAAACGCAATTGTTCTAGGGGATTTTTGAACTTCCAGGAACCCAACTCATGGTTGACGTCAGCTTCGGAATCCGGCCGGATGAGTCATCCGAGGAATCCATTTCCCGAACATGGATAGACTCCGCAGAACTGCCACGGTTTCCAAGGGCATTCCCAAACCCCTAGTTTCAGAAATGCCTCCGAACTGGCCATGTCTTCTCCTTTAGGGGAGTTCTATTAACGCAACATGTGTTGCTCCCCGCATGGTTCCTCCACAAGGCCTGTAGGTCTGAAACCTTCGAAAGAAACACCTACGACGCGCCTACAGGACTCCACGTTTAGGACCATTCTACACTTCCCCGCTACTTGCGACGGCTTGGGAATTTGTGCAGTCCCTATTTAAAAAGAAAAGAAAAAAAAGAGCACGTTGGAAGCAGCCTGAAATGGGCTTTGGCGCCCTTCGAATAGTTGGGTCGCCCTATGTTCCTATGTTAGGGCCTTTCGCGAGTGGAGTTGGTTGCGTGCTTCATCACACTCAGGATGCCGTTCAATCCAAATGCCCCCCGTCCAAGAAGGGTTCCTAGCTTAGATCCTTCTAAGAGGTTCAAATCAAAGGGGTTGTGATAACAAACAGACACACAAACAAACAAACAAGCAACCAAGCAACCAAGCAAACAAGCAAACAAGCAAACAAGCAAACAAGCAAGCAAGCAAGCAAGCAAGCAAGCAAGCAAGCAAGCAAGCGAGCAAGCAAACAAACACACAAACACACAAACACACAAACAAAGAAACAAACAAAGCAACACACACACACACAAAGGGTTGAATGATGGTTTGCCTTGCTATTTCGATCTTGTTTCGAAGATCTGTCCCACTCCGAGTCGCTGAGTCTTTAAGAACTGCTGCTGCACATCCGCGTGCACAGCTCTGAGGGACACGAGCCTCGGGTGTGTCGTTTTTGAGGTCTTTGGGGTCGGTCGGTCGGTTGGTCGTGCTCGCTCTCATAGGGTGTTGACTTCGTTGGGCTCAACACGTTGGGGTGCCCAACTGTTGGAACCAGGTCCAGCTACAAACAACAACTCAGCTCACGATGAAATCCAAAGAGCAAGCTGGGCAAAGCTTGCGAAGCATGCGGCGTTCTTTGGAAGGTGCAAGACAAATGGAAGGCCATCTTTCCTGCAAGGATGCTTGATCCATGCCTTAGCACGTGGCCCGCACTTGGACCAACATGACCAAACCTATCTTGGCCCAACATGACCAAACCAGAATATGCGTGGGTGTGTGTGTGTGTGTGTGTATGTGGGCCTATGTTGAGGGCGTCCTGTTTCCGATTGGTTTAAAGGGAAACCCCCACTCTGGCGGCACACAACGGCGATCCGTGGCCAAAATCCCACTCCCATGGCAGTCAAACTTGTCCGCCCTGCTCCTTGCATTTGGCTGCTCCGAAGACCATGAAACAAGGGTAGAAGATTGTTCCTTGAGGGACAAGTCTTCCTTAAGGGTAAGGTGGCCCAAAAGTGACAAACTCAACGCCTTCCAGGTAACCTCAGATGCCCAGTGGCCAGGGGAATAAAAGGGCATCTTTCTGTTGGTTGGTTGAGTTTAAAGGGAACCCTTCCCCAAAAAAGGGCACCGCTGGGCAACTGGGTAACCCAAGGCCGACCTTCAGATCAACCCGCGCGAATGGTCCACCCCGAAGCCTGAGGCTCCAGCAATGCCAACAGCCGCCGCAATGCGGCCGCATTCCCCCGGCTTGCGGCCATACGGCCCCGTCCCACGCCTACGGGGCCCAAACCGCCAGAATGCAAATCCCAGTTGCCAGACATACCTGGAGTCTCCATGACCCTGAAAAAATGGGGTGTCATTACCCAAAATTAAGGGATCATGACCCGTTTTTCTAGGGGTCATGGAGACTCCAGGTACTTATTTTTGCTTCAAAGGCTGGTTCCCGCGGGTACCCTTTCAGGTAAATGGAATCGCATGTGCCAACTGCTGTTACTCGCTCAACTCGAGCGCCATGCTGGGGTGTCGATTCGGCAAATGGGACATCCGCTGGACCGTCTTCCTCATTGCCAACCGCTCTCACCAAATGACAAAAGGTACGTGAGGATGTACCGGGACCCCAAGTCACAAGGCTGAAAACTGCCTCCCTGGAATGCCTGTCCATATGGGTCGCATTTACCATCAGCGCAATTTCAGATGCACAACCAGCAGTACCAATGTCGACAACCGCAACCAGAATCACGTGATATAGTATATATTCAATATCCTTTTGAAGGGAGACGTGGAACAAAGAAGAATTGGGGTAAAGCACAAAACCGCTTGGCAGCCACAAACATGACCCGACCATCCGAAAGGGTGCCTCACACCCAGCTCATGGCAAGTCGAGATAAGGTAAGGCTCAGTCTGTCTTGGCTGTTCTGTGCTGGAGATGTGTTCAGCTCATCGGCTCATGGGCTCATGGGTTCGTGGGGACAGTCTGCTCGATTCTCTGCGGCTAGATAAGCCTAGCATTGGCCAAGAACTCTGCGGGCTGATGGGGCTGCTTGAGGGTCGAACTTGTCCGCACTAACAGAAGAGTCATCAAAATTAAGCTGTGCAAGAACAACCGCTCTGATCTCCTTGGCAAAGAACAACTACTTGTCTTACGAACTATGAGTCATAGGACCAGAACATGAGGGCATCGGCCACCCGCTGTTCTTTGAGCCGAACGGGTTGCGGCGTGGTCCCCGGAACGCTCTTTCAGCTTGATGCATTCGAAGCCACAGTTCAGTTGGCGGAAAATAGTCCCCGTCTCAAAACACCCAAAACAAGGACGCTGCCTCAAAATTATGGGGTGAATTACCGTTGTTTTTATGGCTAGATTGAGGGTCCAGGTCCCTATTTTGGTTTAGCCTTCCCGTCTTCGACTTTCGCCCTGGTGTATTTGTCGGTTTCAGCTCCGGATTCTAACATGTTTCAGATGCCAGATAAGTCAGCGGCAATTTGAATCACTGGGTGTGTCTTGATCCGACCATGGACCCCCCTTGCAGAAATCCTGACCCTCAAAACCCAGGAAAAATATGCGGGAACTCCGAAAGAGCGAAAACCGTCGTCGGCCCTATGCCTGGTTGCGGTCAAAGGCTGGTTCAAAGGACTACGGGTCCGAAGGACAATTCCCCCCCCCCGAGAAAACAGCGAAACTGCTCCCACCACCAACTGCCTCAACCTGGTAACCTGGTAACCAGGAGTCTAGTAACTAGCCTGCAGCAAAGCACCCGCTCGCCTTAAGACCTGTTTAGTGATACCCTACCTTCTCTGTGTGTGTGCTTGCATTTTGACCCGAGACCAATGAACCCGGTGGATTCCCCAAAAAGCAAGGATTCTCCCTTGAATAGGACATCCCTCAGTGATCGACCCGGGGTTTATATAATCCTTGTCAAATTCAGCGGCATTGGCTGCCATGTCAGTGCTGTGCTTCGCCTTTTGCATTTCAGCCTTCGGCACAGCGCTCTGGTCGGACAAATGGCCCAATGTCAAACTTGTGAAGTTGCCAGCGCCGGAAGTGATAGCGATATGGCTGTGGGTCAAAACCCTGTACCTCTGTTGAACATCAAAAATAGGTGGCAAATGGATGTTCATCCACCCCAAAATGGAGCAATAGGCTATGCCCCATGGCCATATAACCAACTGTGGTGCCATCATTGTGTACATCAATTGCAGCCTGAATTGTAATGTTGCAAAGGATCAAGCACGCGCCCATTGCTTCGGACGTCGGAATACGTACGAAGGACTGGGATTTTTGTTGTTTTTGTTTTTTTTTCCCGGTAGGGACGGCCTGTTGTCAAATAAGTCACAATCAAAACCCGGTACAAAAATGGTCGACCCAGAACCATGTAAAGAACTAAGAAGGCGGCCGCAGCTATTTATGGCTGGGATCGTCCCTTACTAACCTTCACTTACCCGGGTTTTGATTGTGGCTCAAATGGTTTGCTCGTTGACACAGCCAAGATGACAGAGGATCGGCTTCCAGACCATGTGATGTCGGCCCAAACCATCTCAACACGATCTGGTTCTCCTTGAAAACCCTTGGTCTGGTCACCTATGCAGTCGCAGAGCGCCGCGTGCTTTCAATCATGCGCACTCTGTCTAGAAGTTGCCATGCCTTCAGCAAATGCAACGACAGCTGAGAATTCCTGGTGAGAAGACTTCGAGTGCGGATCAACAATACCACCACCAAGCTGCAATGACAAAGCCACATAAACCCGGCTAGCAACATGTACACAACAACAATGAACAATCCGGAAAACATTGCACGAACTTGCTCAAATCACAAGTGTCTTGCTTGTTCAAGTTGTTTCTCACCCTGCTGAGGCTCTTTTGTTAACTTTTGAGGGCCTCTTATTCCGTCAGCACGGCTGTTCAAGAACCAGTATCATGTGTTGAAGAACCGTGAGACCGGCTGTTCGTACCTGCATGCATGATAAACATATAACTTATGTATATATATATATATACACATCGTATAACATATAAATCAATTTGGCTGCACTATCTATGAGTATGAATTCTCAGCCTGACATGCTAGCCAGTCCAGGCATCAGCCGATCCAGGGTGGAAGGCGTCTGCCACTTGAGCTGTTTGAACTTGGCATCTGTCGACAACTTTGAACAATGACAGCCACACAAGCACTTGAACACAGCGGACACATGCGACATGCCTCGATAAACAATGCGAACCTACCAATTCCTCAAACAGCGCGACCAAAAGTTGCCACCATCGGCATGCTCAAGCCAGGCAAAGGACAATCCTTTGCACATCAGCATTGCAGGGAATTGCCAAAACAGGGCGATCAGGAACTGAGCTCATCATTGGTTACCCAAATGTGCTAAGCAAATGTACATAATATGTGTGTGTGTGGGTGTGTGTGTGTGTGTGTCCTTTTTACGGGGACCCTCAAAATATGGTTGTCCCTTTGGCTTCCCTTTGAGACCACCAAAAAAGGCCATCCACATAGGTCATTCCCTTTCAAACTTGCTGGCTATCATGCGTCCATTGCACGCAGGCGTGCCAGCCCTCTCAGAGGCCGAGGATCCTGGCGCGACTGGCCATCTGGCCATCTGGCCATGGTCCCAGCAGAAACCCTCACGATCGTCGTCCAAAGTTGCTACTTAGATGATGCGAATCCCTACCAAAACCAAGTAAAACGGTTCTTTGACCATGGCTATGGAAAGTGATGATCTGGCTTCCATCGAGATAGTCTATCAAGATATGCATGTCTCTATCTCGCCCTTTGGAGAGCTTGAATCTTTGTGTTTGGGCAAGGTCACTATTGCCAGGGACCAAAGATCAAGCCCTCCATGGCTGCCCGTCACGAGCACATAATTCTCCAGAAAAACAGCCTTTTGAGTCTAGCCCGGAGCGGCCACACTTCATTCGCATTCTTTCCGAGGATGGGATCAAGTCATGGAAGAACTGTAAGCCCCTTTCCATCGGAAAAGTTGTCCAATGACATTCCAAGCACAACTTCAGAAGGGGCCCTTGTCTCGAGACACCTTCCAGGTTGGAAGTGAGGTGTCTGATCATCGGAGTTGAGAGAATGAGACTTGCACCGCAACATGACTGCCAACACTTGTCTACTTGATACAATGTGTCTTTCCTTCCTCTGGCTACTTGAATTTCTCATACCTAATACAGGGCCGCGCTCTGATATGATCAAGCATCAAGCTAAAGAGAAACATAGACCAGCGGCCATTCAAGGGGCTCGGGGCAATAGAGTGATACGCTTAGCGTGTGCAGCTTTCTGCAAGCGCAGAAGAAGGTGCCCATGTGTCTGCAATGTTTAGAAATCATCTAAAGACATTTGATGACATAAGGGATCCCCACTAAGGCTCGTCTTGCTGCAAATCGGTGAGCTCGCTTGGCAAACCAATTAGCATCCCTTCAAGGCCGGAGGCAACTTCTCCAATGGAGACAAGGTCAGGAAGTCAGTCGCCAAGCAGTCCTAACAAACTGCCATTTCAAACAAACCCACTGGAGCAAGATAAAAGCCTCCAACGTTTTGAAGCCTTCCCAACATGCCAGAAGCAACACTACCAGCCTGATCAAAGAGTGAGCAGTCGCCTATTGGACATGGGTGCTTCTCCAAATTCGGGTCTCCGGTTTGGATGGCAAGGGGGAACCAAAAGGAAACCAACCGCCATCCCCAATATGGCTGTGGGTCAAAAAAAGGTACTCAAAATGGAATCCTGGCAAATGGAACCAAGGACTAAAACCTGCGGTCCTCTGTTGGTTTAATTTTGACCCACACCCACACGGTACTCCATGGGGCAAAAGGAGCTTCCCCACCTTGCGCTCCACCGCTTCCGCCTGCTGCAAGCACCAAAGCTGCTCGATGGTTAAACAACGCCCACCCTCCGATGTCAAGTCTGACACGCCGCGCTCAAAGCCCAGCACCCGCACAAATATGGCGGTAGTCAAGCGACTGCCAGATGAATTCATTACCCGGAAGTATGTGGGGGTTGATCAATATTCTATTAGAGGCCCGCAAATGACCATGGGTAACTATTCCCATTTAGTGGGAATTTCCTTGTTGTAGTGGCTTCCCTCAGTAATCCCATGCAAAAGACCTTTTGCTCAACATGTCTCAATTTAACTGAAGGAACCTCGAGCATGGGGCCTGAGGTCGCCAAGGCACACCCCGCCACAGCTGCCCCAACACCGAAAAGAACTCGTGCAAAAGAAGCGAAAGACTGCCAAGACATGAATCGGGAACCTCCACTTCTGCCATCGCGCAAAAGGTTCTCCAAGTAAAAACGCAAGTATTTTGTAGCGCGGGGCTCAGGTGAGCCACATGTAGGCCCAGGATTCTCGTGGATTTGCCTCTTTGCAACCCCAAACATGATACCCTCACTGAAATGACACGGGCTGTGAAGGCCCAGCTCTGAGCCTTTCTGGCTGGACGTGATTACCCCCCCCGTTTGAGTCTCCTTTGCGGAAACATGTGAGCCATGGCCAATAGTCGTTGTGTCCACAGCTGCCAAGGGTTTTACTTTGGTGCTCAGTGGCGAATGATGGAATGAACCTGGGGATGACCTTAAAGGAAACCATGGGGGATGGTTTGTAGGGGTCATTCCATTCCTCATTCCCTGCTGAGCACCCGCAAGTTCAGTAGGCCCCCGCATGTTCCAGTCGAATTGTGGAGCTCATACAGCCAGTATCATGCATCACCGTAGACAGCAAACCTTTCTTGTGGTGCCAAACAAAACGGGGTATCTTGTTTCAAAGTTGGGGAAGGACAAACAATTTTGGTGCGTCCTTTTGAACCCCAAAAGGAACCAAGGTGCAAAGGATTGCAAAGGTTGCCTCCCCAAAACCTGCCCCACGGGGTCAATCTCCCGCCTGCTGCTGCAGAAATTCCAGGTGCCGAAGCCCTCGTGCCGCTACCTCAGGCGAAGCAGCCAAGTGCCAGCATCGGCCGCGCTCAAATCGGAGGAAAGCGGATAGACCAAATCCGCGACATGCGCCAGTTCTGTGGTTTGTCCCGGAGGGATTCGTCCATCCCAACTGATGCAAGGAGATTATCCAGTGCGATGGAGTGGTTATACTGTGACTCCTGACAAAATGCATTGACTCGCAAGGAGCAACTCTTTCAATGCACAAAAGGCTCCCCAGTTTTCCCTTCAGCATCACTGCGGACCTCGCCCACAGGAAATGGTCTGTCGAAACATGCCAATTCAACCAATTGCCTCCGATCTTTTAGGGTGAAGAGCCCTGGAGGGTTCCGAAAAAAACTGAGAGGGGCATGCCACGAGGCCAGACATCGGACGCTTGGACTCCAGGCGCGCTTGCTGTGGTAGCCAGGGTGGGCCTCAGAATTTGAGAGCCCCAAATTTATTCTGACTGACTTGAACCAATATGGGGTGTCCTTTTGAGGGTGCCTGCTTTGTTTGCGTGGTTTTGAAGGGAAACCAAAAGGAAAACCCCAATTTGGGGGGTCCCCCACCAAAAAAAAGGACACGCCCATATGGTCAACCTCCTCTTTTTATCTTTAAACCACCCTCCTTCCGAAGATTCCTTTGGATGCGTTTCACGTCTCGGTGCCAGCTTTTGGCAGTGCATTTGTCTTGTCCCATGTCTATATTCTGAACTACTCGCCTTCCACATTTTACTCCTGATTCTCAGCACAAGCTGGAGTTCACAAAGCACATCATGACTGTAGAGGTCAGCAGGATA